ACTGCTTTGGAAAACATTAGCAGGCCTTAAGGGTTGGGGAGCTTGAAGTGGTAATATCTTGAGAAAATTATAGTGAATTTCAAAACCCAGATGTCGCAGCTATTATATAAGGGTTTCTGTTGAAGTTCTCGAAGGTCAGGTAGCACCTAGAAGAGAACAGTGTCAGAGGGCAACTTCACAGTGTCGTCCCTATGGGGCTCTTTTTAACCATGCTACGGTTGACGGTATCTACAAAGTCTACAAAGCAAAAAAAAAATGTCGGGTCGAACAGAAATTTTCCTGGTCATAAAAGAAAAAGAAGCGGAAACTAGTTGATCAAATGAAAAGCCGTATAAAAAGCCCGTAAATTGTGGAAACATGGGGAAAGGTGTGAAGGGACAGGTTTTTCAAGGATGCCAACGCGAATGGGCGATGTAGAAAAAACCCCCACTCGAATGGTAGTGGGACATCAGGATTCTGAAAGTAGCAATGTTTTCCTTCAAAGAACTCTGCGAATACAACAACTGTTTCGCTCATACGCTTAATGGGGAATAGGAAAGAAATCATGATGATGTCACTTTTCACACCACGGTTTTGACTTAACACCCTCAAACTTGATAAGCTGAGAAAGGTTGAGCTCCGTATCTCACGTTAATGGCATTAGGGAAGATGCAAAGAGAACAGTTTCTACAAAGAAAATCATCGTGATCTCTTCCTGCAGAAAAGGAGAATTGAGAAGCTAGGAAGATGGAACCTCTAGACAGAAAAGTAAGGCCTCGTGGTGCTTGGCCGTCAGACCGAGTAATGTAATTCGTCCTAGAATCCGTCCTGGCCGTACAGAGGCTCTGTCATTTCATAATACTCAGAAGGTCCCAGACCCACTTTGAAGGATAGAGCGCCTACCCGAACACTGACCCTTCCCCCAGCTTAATGACCAATGCATTCAAACAATACCTTATCCTTAAGGTTAGGCTCATATGAGTGTCTCACACACCGTCGCACTGTCACAAAATCATAGTTCTAGGACCGAATCCCGTATTGTTCAGCCTTTCATCGCTTCGATGTTGGTTGAACGATATCAACCTCGTTAGGAGGGATAGAATCGCCGGTTTCTGCATTGGTAGGCTACCTCAAGTCACTGGATTTTGCTTGTTTTTCTGGGAAACCTAAGAAATGATATGCGCAGTGGTATAGCACGGAAGAAGTGATCAAGGTAAGAGCATCACTTGAAAACTTCCTGGATGTCTATTTATTGGTTCAACATTACCAGAACATACCTACTAATGATTGAAGGTGTCAGAAGAACGGGAAGAAAGTCCACGCGACAGGAACTGCCCCACTGGGTGCACTGTAAAGGTCACAGTTTCTCGTTACTGCGCTATGGTCTTCTCAGGGATAAAAGTTCATTTTGAAAACGAGTAACAGCTCCTTTTTGGCCGCATGCCATTCGAAACAGTCAAAAACAACTGTTGAAAACAGACGTCATTGTAAACGCTAACATCAAATTTTTTTAAATGCAAACACGCATCTGTTCAATCGAGATCAGACAACATTAGTACGAAAAAATGACTTCCTTCCTGTAGACTCAGGTATTCAGACTGATGAGCGCTGTAACAGACGCACAAACTGGTCATTTACTTAATTTATTATATTCTTACTAATTATTTAATTTTTCGACATTTTTCTCTGAATTATGACATTCTTATCGCTGGGCTACGAAGCCAAGTATAAGTATAAGTTTCTGGGAGTTGATAGATTCCGTCTGAGGGATGCGCTCCCTCTTTCGAATGCCATTCAGAATCGTAGTGGCGTACTGACTGCGTATGTGGCCCAGCAATGAATTGCGGTGGCCAGCCGTTGTACAAGGCAGTGCTTTTATCCTCCCACACGAGTCTGGTACCAATCAACCGATCCCGAGGGATGGAAGACTTGGTTGCCCTAGGCGGATATCCACCCGGGATTTGAACCCGTGACCATGTTTGTGTAAAAGAGTGCTACTTGACAGTAACCACCTCCGCCAGGGTTACAAAGGGTCAATGATCCCTTTCCCTTATTCTGTCTACAAAATTACAGCAGTATTCCGAGCCCTATTTCAGAATTCGATTCATTTACGCGATTTTTCGTTTTTCTTTTATTTTTGACTTTTTACTTCTTCATACTACCTTAAACAAGTACAGTATGCGCAAGTGCCTTCTGCACTTTCAATCTGATCGAAGATCCATCATCCTTGGGGAATACGAAAATAGCTGTAGTACAAATGATACGTTGATCATTGCCTTTTGTACTTCCCACATTCTTAAAGTCCACCATTCGACGAAAGTTCTGCAAAATGTCTTCCGGGTAGTCGCATAGGTTGTAGCAGGTTCTCTCGTCCTTACATTCTGACAACACTCCTAGGCTCTTATCATCATTTCGGTTTTATTACACTCTACCGGCCATCACCCATCACCTTTACCCACGAACAAGTCGATACCATTTCAAGAAGAGGGCGTCGAATTCTGTGGGCATTTGCTCTCTAACCAAGTTGACCGTTATCAACCTCCAGTAAGCCGGTTCTCGAAAAGCACCACAGAAATGAACAGAAGGGATTCTGAACACTTCTGATATCTCGTAATCGTATAGACCTACCCTGGCTTATTTTCCTTTGTACGAGAATATTTCATTTCACGAAAAAATTGATAATTCTGAAAAAATATCGATTTTATTCAGTGTTATGGGCAGTGAAATCGCAATTTTTTCTCCGAACAAATACAGGAAACCATTTTTGAGACTACAAAAGCATTGCGGAGCTTTCAAACTTCACCAAGAAGATATAAGGAGCTCAGTATCCCCAAAAATTAGTCAGTTCCACCTGTCAGCGACCAGATTCATCGAGGCGTCTTTGCGCATCATCACCAACACCTGAGAAATATCGTCGACTTGGAGCTATGTATGCAAGCCATGGATGTGGATCAGCGATCAGTTTGGTGTCTTCCTAGTTGCCTCTGCTAGTTGACACGTAACCACGACCCAGAGTGGGAAAAATCGCTTTGATTCAATTATGACTCCTGCTAGTCCCCTTCTCTCTGGGGCCGTAAGGTATGCTCCCCCGAACAGGGGTGCCGGTAAGGTACGCTCTCGGGGAGAGCAGAGAGAGAGACCCGAATCGGGGCGTCCCAGCCCCGAACAGGAGAGCACACCTTACGGTCCCTGATGGGCCAACTATTTTCTGCTGCCTTAATTTGGCACATTCATGGGATTGTTTTGAGGAATTAGTGCGAGGGAACAGCCTTTTTTCCTGTTCTTGTAAATGTAGGTGAATATTTCTATTACAGTAGCTAATTGACTCCTTTCAACTCAATCCTTCGAACCTATTCTAGAGTTTATTCCTTGGGCTTCAGTGAATCCATTGATCACCTTGCTCGAAACTATAGGCTGTAGAGCAGTAGACCTTGGCATTTCGAAGGGAGTGGAATTTGTGGTGTTTCCTTTTAAAATCACCGATCTGTTCTCAGCTTACTTTAGGTGTAACTGTGAATGGTGGCAGGAGGCTCATGTGGGCAATATCACCGTGAGGTCATTCGATCCATCATTCCCATGCCATGTTAGTGAGACAGTATTAGCGCTTTACATTTGAGCTCGCTTCTGTGCGTGGACATTTCAAGACCCATTGCGTGACGGGACATTTCAAGACCCATTGCGTGACGAAAGATGCCACCATGACAGGCTGTACGTATGTTTTCCTTGGTCGTCAAAAGGGGTAACCAGAGAAGGAAAGAAAGTGAATAACCCTTCACACCTTGCTTGATGGCGTGATGATGGATGAGAAATGACGGCAAAGAGAAGGAAGCAATTTCGATTAACGGAGAGTGTTCCATAACTCGGAGAAGGCTTCAAAATGATACTGATAATGATAAGGAATGTTCCTCCTACGAAGCACCTTATCATCCTATGGGTGATTTATTTTGTGTAGTTGCCTGTACCTAGAAGGTCAGTTCGAGGTACGTACAATACGTTGCTAGTCTGTAAAAGTCACCTAACCCTTGGTCAAAAACGAATGACTTGGTCTGATCATAGGCATGTAGCTCTGTAGCTGTAGCTCCAGCTCACTATTGTTTCTACTTAGGCTGGAAAAAAAGTCCTGCTCGTAGCTATCTTAAGGTTGCTAGAGTGGGGAGCATGGCCAATCCTCTTTAAGCCATTGTTGCGAATTTCTTTGAGTAAAAGGGTGAAATGGGTGAAGGTTGGGTGAATGTTGTGAAATTTTGGTGTCTTGCGTCACATTCGTCTCATCTTCCTTAACCTACTCCACCCCTCCATCCAATCCTAACTACTCGATTGTCAGAAAGCACCCATTGACCTTGCCAACCGCAATTCTGTTTATATTGCTTTCTCCGTCCAATCGAAAGTACTGGTCAAATCTATGCTTCTGCCCTTGCCTCGTCATACCGTTCATCAAAGAAGTGAATGGAAAATCAACAACTATCAGTATCGACCGTTTTCACTATGGAGGAAAGATACTCATTGCATTCTCAAAACATTAGGGTTAGCTACCTACATAGGTTCATTTGCCTCCACTTCTTATGTATTCACGGTAGGTCGGACACGATTGCCGCGAGAAACAGTGAGGTTTGTTGTAGCGATGTTACCCGGAATTTTTTTGCACATTCACTCGTGGGAATCAGAGCGAATACAGCAGGGAAAGACTCTGGGCTGCTCTGCTAATTCGTATGCTCCCAAGGAGCACGCTTTGGGTCTGCCTTGTTCTGCTTAGATAAAGCAATGAATTCATTTCTGCAGCCTCAAACCACACTTCCCTGTCGTTAAACCTCTGCGCTGATAAAGTTTGAAGAGATCGTCTTGTAGCGAAAGTTGAGCTCCCTGCCAGAAGCATGCGCACTTCTCACTGCACATCCTTCTGCGCAACTTGTTCCGACAGTGGGCGACGTTCACCGGACCATAAAGTCGCACCTGCATATCGATGCATACTGGAAGCTTTCCAGAATTCGCTATGATTTTCTTAACACATTGTAGCTTCAGATATGAATATCGAAGACCTTGCAAAAGATAACGAGAAGGTAAAACCGTTGAAGAAGAAAGGTTACGATGATGTGGAGATAAGCGATTTATCTGGAGGCGATTCAGGAAAGTACGTTCAAATACGTTGTACGTATGGATGTACGCATCTGCGTTCACTTGAAAAATGTCAACCGAATTCACTTACTTGTCATCCTTTACTTCAACCCTTTATTTGCTAGTCCTTTATCCCCAGAAATTGAAAACTCCAGGTCAGGCAAGAAGAAGAAGGGTGAAAAAGATAAAGAGGGATCCAAAGAGAAAGATAAGGATAAAGGAGAAAAGGTAGGCTAAATGGTGAGATTACAACTATGAAGACGTAGTTTAGAAGAGACACATCATTTTTTGAACTCCAAGAACATCTACATAAGTGGCATGACTGCAATTGAAATAGGGTTTTAAAGGCACAGTTCACGATAAGAATGGTTTGTGAGATTTCCTCATAGAATGAACTCGAAATCTCCTCGTATACCATATCTGGCGCTATTAGGTCGCAAAACAGCCTAGTTAGGTC